CCGCGCGGGCGCCCCGTCCCTCGCCCTCGCCGCCCCGGGCATTGAACCCAAGGCCCGGCAGCCTCCACCCCTGAGCTGTGCGCTCCATGCCCAGGGTTCTCCTTGCTTTGAAAATAGGAAAGCATTTTGTCAGGTGCAAGAGACAAATTCCTTTCTTTTTTTTTTTTTTTTTTCCGGTACCGGGAATTGAACTCACGACCTTGCGCTTGCCAGGCAGGCGCTGTGCCGCTGAGCTAAATCCCCAGCCCCGAGAGTGAAATTTCTGGGTCATCTTTTAGGACTTCTTTCGTCGACTGAAGTCTTTTGCAGAAGTCCTTGGTGAGATGAGAGTGCGTTCCAGCCGAGATGCGGGAGTGCAAGCCCGGGGCTGCCGGGCCGGCTGCGCCCGCCTTCCCTCTGCGCTCCGGGCCGCTTCCTCCCGAGGGGCTCTCCGGAGTTGCACCGCCAGGTGGCGCCTCTGGCGAAGGGACTTCGTCTGTCACTGCTGAAGCTGCAGTTGCCTGGCAACCGAAACTGGGCGTTCCAAACAATTGGGACCCGGAATCTTCACCGAGCACCGTCGCGGTGCGGCTGCGACAGCCTCCCATCCCAAAAGGAGCGTCTCGCTCGGCGTTCAGGCATGCCTCCCACCCGGGACCCTTTCCAGCACCCTACGCTAGATAACGATGACTCCTATTTGGGAAAACCGCGGGCTTCCAAGGTACTACAATTATTTCGCGAATTCCCAGTAGGGCCCCCAGCAGTCTCCTTTCTGTCGCTGTGACGGGCAGAGATGGTCACATAAAGACCTCCGGTAAGGTTACCGAGTCGGGCACCACAGAAGTTTGTCTTCCTGGCCTCATATTCAAGTTTCCTAACGTTTTGTGTTGGTACTTGTTTCGCGTATTTTTAGTTCTGGCGATTTAGCTTGTGCATGCTGTACCACGGTTACACTCCTAGAGCTCCCTCTCTTTCTTTCTTTCTTTCTTTCTTTCTTTCTTTCTTTCTTTCTTTCTTTTTCTTTTTCTTTCTTTCTTTCTTTCTTTCTTTCTTTCTTTCCTTCTAGATTGAACCGAAGTCCTTCTCAATGAGCTACATCCCCAACCTTTTTTAAGTTTTTCATTTTGAGACAAGGTTTCAATAAATGGACTCGAATTTGTGACCTTCCTGCCTCAGCCTCCTTGGTAGTTGGGATTATAGACACGTACAGTTGTCCTCAGCTCGGAAATGCTGTGGAGCAGAGGGAAGGAGAACTCTAGTCTAGATGAACAAGGGGCTGTTGCAGCTCACAGCAGTAATTAGTATACATACGTAATGGGGGTCCAGCATCCACCCAGCCACCCTTTTCTGTTTGGAAATTGATACAAGATATCTTGTTCTCCAAAGAGATATGAGATATGGAGTAAGTGAAAATCCTCTGAAAGACGCCAGGTCATGGTTTATACATCTGGCCTCACAGTACCTCTGCCTTCTGGTTAACACAAGTGTGTGTGTGTGTGTGTGTGTGTGTGTGAGATTGTGTGATTGTGGTCAGTGATCTGCGAATTTAATTGATCTTGTTTTCTGGTAGAAAGATCTAGGATATTTAAAGAGGTGCAAAATATAGTGAATTAGATGGTAAGCAAAGCTTAATAACAATGTCAGAGAGCTTCCTCTTAATTCAGTATTTATCATTTACCATATGTCAGGCACTCTGCTTAACACTGAAGGTATCTAGATGAATTAGAGCTCCTGCCTCCAGGAATTCTAGTAGAAAAGAGATCAGCAACAGCAACCGCGCTTGCGCTGTGGCACATGCGCTGTGACAGTGATATGTGAGGTGCGGTGAGAACCGGGAGCCTAAAGGAAAGCCTCCCAGAGCAGATGAGTGTTGACGAACAAATATGAGTTCGCTGGTTAGGGGAGGGAGCAGGTGGGGAAGTTAGGAGGAAGGGAACGGGAATCAGACAGTCGAGGAAATGGAAGCAGCAGGTTCACTTCCGTGGAAATGAGACTGTAGGGGGGATTGGGGAATTGCATAGTTGTGAAGTGGAGGCACCAGAGGCATGGGGTGACTGGAGCTGGAGAGGTGCGCTAGGGGCTGGTATACTGTGGGCTAGGATTCCATCCTAGAGGCATGGGGACCGTGGTGGGATTTTAAGCACTAGAGAGTAGGACAGTTGGGTGGCTGTTTTAGAGCGCATATGTGACCTATGTGTGACAGACAGTATGCACCTGTAATTCCAGCACTCTAGGTGACTGAGATAGGAAGGTAGTAAGTTCAGGCCTCACCTGGGGAATTTAGCGAGACCTAGTCTCAAAATATAAAAAAAGATTTAAATAACAGTAATTAAAAAAAGGGCTGGGGATACGGCTCAGTGAGGTGTTGGGTTCAATCTCCAGTACCCAGGGGAGGGGCGGCGGCACATCAGGCAGTGGATTGAATAGAATGGGAGCGAGAGAGGGACAGTGACACCCTACCTGCAGCAGTGACACGGGATAGCAGTAAGGTGCACACTGAGCTGGGCGTGGTGGCACACGCCTGTCATCCCAGCACTCAGCAGGCTGAGGCAGGAGGATCATCACTGCAAGTTCAAGACCAGCCTGGGCTACAAAGTGAGCTCAAGGCCAGCCTGAACTGCATAGTGAGACCCTGTCTCAAAACGACAAAAAAAAAAAAAAAAAAGGTGCACAGTGAGATATACAAAGGGCGGGACTGTGGAACCTGGTTGTAGGCCCAAGAGAAGGGACAAGCCTTAGATAACGTCTGGGTATCGGAGGGCTTGTATGTCCCAAAGAAGCAACGTGGGGGAGAACGACGTTGAGATCACTTAGGTGGATCTTATTTTATGGCACCTGTGGACCATTTAAATAGAGATTAGCTGTGGGCAATAAGACTGAAAGTTGTGGTTGAAGATGTACGTCTAGGATTCACTGTACCCGTATTGTAGTTACAGGAGAGAGTCAGCTCCTCCAGTGAATAGAGGAAAAGCACCAACCCACTTGGAGAATCCCACTGTGTAAAGGGCAGAGAGAAGGCTCGAGACATACGAGCCAGAGGCCAGTGCACAACCAGGAGAGGCTGGACCCCTGGGGCAGAGAAAGCATTTGAGAGAATTCAGTCTTGGTGCCAGAAACCCCAGTGATCACATAAGATGAGGTCTGGAAAGGCTCCTTCTCACCTGCAAGAGTTTCAAGGGGTGCTGGGGGCAGAGGCCAGACTGCACTGGGCTGAGGATGGGTATAGGGACAACGTGCAAAGTAGAGATAGGGCGTGTTGACTCTTGAAGAAGTCTGGCTGATACGCGGGTGTAGAGAGTGGTAAAGGAATGGCAGAGGAGGTGGGGTCAGGGAAGCGGGGATGTAGAGGGGAACAGGTCTTTGAAGCATGCAGAAGGGCTGGGTCCAGGGCGGAAGGGCTACTGCTGAGCAGAAGGGACGCCTTCTCCTGCGGTGCAAGGGAAGCAGTGTGCAGATGGCCCTGGACAGTGTCCACTTTCTCAGTGAAAGACGACCTCGTCCTTGTGCTGATCGAAGGGAGGATAACCCTGCGTAGGCAGCTGTCAGGGAGGATGGAAGAGAGCTAGCCAGGCCCTCGGCGAGGCTCGCGCCGTGTATCACTGTTCAGCTCGCAGTGAGAGCAGAGCGCTGGATATTCCGTCCAGCTAGGGTTTAGTTGAGCGCAGGCACAGAGCACTGGGCCACACTGAGGGAAAGGAGGGTTACAACATGGCAAAGGCTGAACAAGCGTCTGTTGTGCTGGTTGTACTCGCTGGAATTTGATCAGTGATTCAACCAAGATATCATTTTTTATTTTTTTGTCTTTTTGAGACAGGGTCTCGCTATGCCGTTCAGGCCGGCCTTGAGCTCACTTTGTAGCCCAGGCTGGTGTCGAACTCGCAATGATCCTCGTGCCTCAGCCTCCCGAGTGCTGGGGTTACAGGCGTTGCCCACCATGCCCGGAAAAGTATCATTTTTTTTTTTTTTTTTCCTCCAGTACCGGGAATCGAACTCACGACCTTGCGCTTGCCAGGCAGGTGCTGTGCCACTGAGCTAAATCCCCAGCCCCGGTATCATTTTTTAATACTGTGTTAGATCACCATGCTAGGTACCCAGAATACCATGGTGGAAAATATGGCACTTGATTTGTAATGAAGGAGTCAATTGTGTGCTTGTCACATTCATGTTTGTAGGGAGAACTGAGTATCTTAATGAACTTTTTCTGACATTCCTTCAGTCAACAAGTGACCCTTCCTTGCTTGCTGAAATCTCTCTTACCTACCTGTTCTCCCTACTTTGTCCCTGATTGCTTCCTGTAGGGCCTTCTTCCCTTCCTTCAGAACACTGTGCATCCTCGCGAGCCAGCTCCTCACTGTGGCCAGACTCCTTTCTGTGGCGTCAGCTACTGCTACAAACTCATCTGTGTCACTCATTCTGAGCTCTCCGCTAAGCTACCCACTTCCCATTTTGTTAATGCATTAAAAGCCTCACCTTTTCTTCAAGCTCAGGATGTCGAAACCCGAGTTCATCACTCTCCTTCCCTGCTCCCCACCCAGGGACTTGTCCCGGCCCTCCCTCCTCCTGTTTTCCTGGCGCGTTTCTGTCAGTTCTCACTAAGAAAAACTAGGAGTCCTGCCCCATAGCATTCCTCACTTGTACATCTGAGATTTTAAAAAGAAGGTAATAAGGAGGTGGCTGTCACTGACCCACTGTGTCAGCAAGGCCTCCTGTAGCCAGGTCCTGGATGTAGTTTCTCTTTTGCAGAAATTGCCATTCAAGAACCCAACGCACCTCGCCCAGCAGCAGGATCCCTGGAGCCGGCTCAGTTCAAGCCCTACAATCACCTCCATGAAGCGGGACCCCTACTTCTCTGACCCCAAGGTACTTCATGCTGAACAACTATTTCTCTTTACTTCCACTTAGGACTCATTAATATCCTTTTTGAATGGTGGGCTGCCCCTGACTGCTTTACCATCTTTCCTTTTGTCCCTGATTTAAGATCTTAGCAAATTCATGCCGGGCGTGGTGGCGCACACCTGTAATTCTAGCACTCGGGAGGCTGAGGCAAGAGGATTGTTGTGAGTTTGAGACCAGCCTGGGCTACAAAGTGAGCTCAAGGCCAGCCTGAACTGCATAAGGAGACCCTGTCCTAAAAAGAAGACCAAAAAAAAAGAGAGAGAGAGAAAAATAGGGGCTGGGGATTTAGCTCAGCAGCACAGTGCCTGCCTGGCAAGCGCAAGGTTGTGAGTTCTATTCCCAGTACCGGAAGAAAAACAAAAACAAAAGCAAAACAAAACAGACAAAAATAAAAGTAAGATCTTACCAAATCCAAAACCAGTTTATCAAATCACAAGGCTTAGGTTTTGCTCTGGGAAGGTATCTGGAGCAAATAATTTTTACCAGACATCTCATTCTTTTTATTAAAACAAGGACTGAATATAACCATAAGTGAGGTGATGTCAATTAAGTCCATGTTGGGGATAATATTCCTATGTCTCCAGTATGAGCTCACAGCCCTTTAGACATATCATCATGGGGGCAATTCTCTATTGACTGGAGTTAAAAACTTACTCCCTACAATTCAGTGTCTAAGGACTTAGTAGATTTCAGGCCCAAAAGAGATTTCACTGTATTTCTGGGGAATAGTAAAGCCCAAGCGAACCCAAGAGACCATCAAGTTAACCCTGGAGGACTGGCTTTCCCGGCAGATACCAAAGGATGACCTCGATTTCCGCTTAGGAGCCTTGTACGACCACCACAGTGGGGCCTTCAAGAACAAGACTGAGATACTGTTACACCAGGAGACCATCCGGGATACTCATGAGTAAGTGGTAGCTATACAGTCTCTTCACCCGAAGGAAGCTGCCATCCATAGGTAAACTGTCACCTGAAAATAACAATCATTTGTGTAAAATTTCTGTATTTTCAGATCGATAATGTAGTTTCTGTATTTTTAGAACAGAAATCCTCCAGGATGATGAGCCAGTTGTGGTAGCATATGCTGTAACCCTAGCACTCAGGAGGCTGACGCAGAATTGCTGAGTTCGGCCTTGAACTCAGTCAGGAGTACATAGTTCAAGGCCAGCCTGAACTGCATAGCGAGACCCAGTCTCCAAAGAAACAAAAACAAAAAACAGAGAAAAGAAAGAAAAAGGAAGGGAAGAAGCAAGCAAAATCTACTAAGATTTCACGTCCCTGAAATCTATTAAGTCCTTAGACACTGAATTGTAGGGAGTAAGTTTTTAACTCCTGTCAATGGAGAATCGCTCCCATTATGATATGTCTAAAGGGCTGTGAGCTCATACTGGAGACATAGGAATATTATCCCCAACATGGACTTAATTGACATCACCTCACTTATGGTTATATTCAGTCCTTGTTTTAATAAAAAGAATGGGTACTTTTGGCCTCTCATAAAATTATCTTTCCCTTCTCATTTCTCCCTGCAGTGCTAGGGATTGAACCCAGGGACTTTGCACTAAGCTACATCTGCAGCTTCCCCCTACTTTGTTCGTTTTTTAATCATTTTTTATTTGGAGACAGGCTCTCACTAAGTCGCTAGGTTGCCCCAGGTGATCTCAAACTTTTGCTCCTCCTGCCTCAGCCTCTTACCTTTCTCTCTGACTGATTTCACTCTGTTCTTCCCCGCACCATCTTCTAGAATCAAGCCTCGGTTCCCTGGAGAATATTTATCCCTTTTTCCTCCACCCCCGATCACGTCCCTGGCTAACATCAGACAGTGGATCAACCCTAAGAAGGAGTCCATCCACAGCATCCAGGGAGCCATAGGTGAGGGTCAGAAGGCCGGGTGGGTGGGCAGGGTGGTGCCAGTCTCTGAACGGACTCGGGAATCTGGCTGGTACTGAGGATCTTGGCATGCTGACAAATAGAGCTGGGAAATTCATTCAGTTTGTAGAGCCTCTGGACCTGGTCTAGGCAACACACGTCTCCAGCAGGGTAGGCAAAGGGCAGAAACGTGGAGGGGGAAGAATGTAACTACCTCCCATCAGTCCTCCAGACGCCAGCTTCCCCTGCTGTTACACTACACGAACCTTCTTCGTAGGACTCGTGAATGTATCAGTGGATTCCGGGAAAGGCAAAGGACCTAAATTCACAGCTCACCCCCTTTGCTTTCCTCCGCAGTGTCCCCGCACACTGCAGCCACCAATGGAGGTTACTCCCGAAAGAACGACGGTGGCTTCTTCTCCACCTAGTGCTGGTGGCGCCTCGACTAATCACAGTGGGACGTCCTGCTGCCTGCCTCTCTATTAAACAGGTTTGTGCAAGACAGTCCTGAAGTCTCATTACCTGTGACTGTTATCTCTCGACTGCTCTTAGAACATGAGAGGGAAACTTCCCACTTCTAGAACTGCTTCTGTCGGGTCTGTTTGCAATCTGAAAACTCATCTTGCTGACGAGATAAGGATTTAGCACAGAATAGCCCCGTTTGTGGAAGGACCCAGCACTTCGTTTGTAAACTGAAGTCACTGCAGCTGTACAGAGCCACCACTTGTCACCCTTACAAACCTTTGTCTAGAACCAAATGAAGTACAGGGGAAACAGGAAATGGACGTAGCCCATTCTCCCAGTGAATTCTGTGATTTTATTTTATTTTATTTTATTGGTGCCAGGAATCAAACTCAGGACCTTGCGCTTGCCAGGCAGGCGCCTGTGCCACTGAGCTGTATCCCCAGCCCCAATTCTGTGATTTTATGAGCACTGTAATGTCAGCAGCTCCAAGTAGCATTAGTATTTACGCAAAGCCACACCTTAGTCACCTGCTGGACTTCACTGAGGGCTCCACCTGCCTGGCCCTCGGGTCCTGGCCATCACTGTCCAGTCGCTAACTCTGTTGCTGTGCCCTTGCCTGGAAGACAACTGCCTTTTCTGGGTCAATCTATGCTGCAATATATAGTCTCGATTCTTATGAATACTGTTCAAATAGCTGGTGCTTGGGTTTGAAGGTACCTAAAAATTGAAGCATTGTTGTGGTTTCTCTAATGACAAATCAGTCACAGGAATTTGTTGTATCATAAAAAAGACTGGACAAGAGAATGGCCCAGTGGTGCTGGGTGTGGTGGCGCATACCTGTAATCCTACCACTCGGGAGGCTGAGGCAGGAGGGTCACTGTGAGGTCGAGGCCAGCCTGGGCTACATAGCAAGGCCATCTCAAAAAACAAAAACAGTGAAAAAGTATTGTGTAATAAGTTCCTATTTTTCAGTTCGACAATGTATATCATCACATAATTCAGACTTAAAGGCCTTCTAGGTACTCAAATTTAGGGTCCTTAAACCAAACTGCCACAGTCCCTTTCCACAGGGACTGTCTAATCTATTCAGATAATTATGTGCTGGTAATATGAAGTTTCAGTTCTCATTATTTTAAGCCCCTCTGAAGGTGGCAGAGAGAGGCTGCTCCCTGGATAATCACCTCACGCAGGTTATTTCAGATACTGAACACCAAAACAAACTTACTACCAGCCTGATGAGGCGGTGCACACCTGTAATTCCAGGATTCTGGGAGGCTGAGGAGGATGTATGTTCAGGCCTACCAGGACAAATTAGCAATTAAGCAAGAGACTTACTTAAAAAAAAAAAAAAAGTGCTGGAGAGACAAACCAATGTGAAAGCCTTGGGTTCATTCCCTAGTACCAAAAAACAAAATCCTGCTGAGGGTGCAGCTTAGTGGGAGAGTGCTTGCTCAGCATGCAAGGGGCCTTAGGTTCAATCCCTAGCACCTAAATAAAAACAACTTATTACTATGACGCATGTTGAATTTTTTTTTTTTTGGTACCAGGAATCGAACTTAGGACCTTATGCTTGCCAGGCAGGCACTTATGCCACTAAGCTATATCCCCAGCCCAGTTGAAATTTTTAAAACCAAGTATTTAAAGAAAAATACTGCCAGGCACGGAGGCACCCACCTGTAGTCCCAGCACTTGGGAGGCTGAGGCAGGAGAATCACAGGGAATTGTATGCCAGCATGGGCTATAGTGAGTTCAAGACCAGCCTGAACTACATAGCAAGGCCCTGTCTCAAAAAAGAGAAGGAAGGAAGGTAAACTTAAAATTATTCCAAAAAGCTGAAAAAGAGGCCGGGCATGGTGGTGTACGCCTATAATCCCTGCACCCAGGAGGCTGAGGCAGGAGGATCATTGCAAGTTTGAGATCAGCCTGGGCTACAAAGTGAGCTCAAGGCCAGCTTGCACTGCACGGTGAGACCCTGTCTCAAAAAGACAAAAAAAAAAAAAAAAATGCTGAAGAGAGAACTACACTCACTTTACCAGGCCAGCACTGCCCTGATAGCAAAACCAGACAAGGGACACAACTACAGGCCAATATCCTCGATGAACCTAGATGCAAAAATCCTCAACATGCTGGGCATGGTGGCATTTACACCTGTAATCTCAGCACCTGCACTGCATAGCAAGAGCCTAGCTCAAAAAAAAAAACCAAAACAAAAAAAAATAATAATAACTGTACATGCTGGCTCATTCCTATGATCCCAACACTCTGGGAGGCTGAGGCAGGAGGATCACAAGTTCAAGCCCAGCCTGGAGGACTTAACAAGACACTGTCTCAAAATCTGAAAAATTTAAAAAGGGGTTAAGGGTATAGCTTGGCAAAGGTCTTGGGTTCAATTTGGTGAATTACAAAAAAACTAAACAAACAAAAAACCTCAACCAAAGAAGTACTAGCAAACTGAATCCAATAGCACATTAAAAAGATTATCCACTATGATCTCCTGGGATTAATTTCAGGGATGCAAAGATGATTTAACATATGCAAATACGTGATACACCATGGTGTGTTAAGATCCAAAATGTCCCCAAAAACGCTGGCTGTGCTGAAGGGCTGGTGTCAGCCGATGGGCTCTTGCAGGTGACTGGATGAATTCGTAGCTCAGAGAGCTCATTAGGAAGTGGGGCCGAATGGGATGAAGCCGGTCACTGGGGCATGCGCACGGCTTTAAAAGGACATTTTGTTCCTGGCCCTTCCTCTTGGGCTGGCCCTGTCTCTCTGCTTCTGGTCATCAGGAAGTAACCAGCTTTGCCTCACCACGTTCAGCCTCCCCACAGGATAAAAGCAGTGGAGCCAGCTCACCATGAACTGAAGCCTCTGAAACCATGAGTAGAAATGGTTTGTTTGTTCCAGTGCTGGGACTAAGTCCAGGGCCTTCGCTGAGCTTCACCCCCAACCCCTTTTTTCTTTTTCAACAGGGTCTAGCTGAATTGTCTGGGCTGGGTTCAAACTTGCAATCCTCCCTCCTCAGCCTCCTAGAGTGTTGAGATTACAGACCTGCACCACCATCCCCAACTCCTTTAAAGAACGATAAAAAACCGTATGATCATCTTAAGAGACGCAGAAAAAAAATGATAAAATTCAACATCGCTTCATGATAAAAACTCTGAATAGATCACATGTGAAAGGAACATCCCTTTGACATAATAAAGGCCATATACAATACAGTGTACATCATAGTGAATGGGGAAAAGCTGCACGATTTCTGTAATAAGGCAGGCATGCCCACTCTCAGCACTGTTAGTATAGTACTGGAAGTCAGAGCACGCGGGCAGAGGAAATAAAGGGCACCCACACTGGGAAGTACCACGTGACCCAGCAATGCCACTACTAGGTGTACATATCCAAAGGAAACGCAATCAGTATGCGAACAAGACACCTGTAATCTCATATTCATTGCTGCCCTATTTACAAAGGCCAAGAAATGTAATCGACTTTAAATATTCATTAATATATGAATGGATAAAGAAAAAATGTCGTTTAAACTGGGTGTGGTGGTACATACCTGGAGCCCAGCACTCTGGGAGGCTGAGACAAGAGGATGGAAAATTTGGTGAGACTCTTATCTCACAATTTAAAAAGGATGGGGCCATCGTTTCTCGGCCTTTTGGCTAAAATCGAGTGTAAAAAGGATGGAGCCAGGTGTGAAGGTGCACACCTATGATCCCAGCACTCAGGAGGCTGAAGCAGGAGGATTGCTGTGAGCTCAAGGCCAGCCTGGGCTACAGTGAGTTCAAGGGCACCAGCTTGGACTACACAGCCAGACCCTATCTCAACAAAAACAAAAGAATGGGGATGTATAGCGGGCATACACAAAAGTGTTGCTCTATCTCAAGGGGTAGGGGAGTTTATTACACTACCATCATACTGTTCAGGCATACAGAAGGATGAGATCCTGTCATTTGTAACATGGTTGGTATTGGAAGTCGTTATGTGAAATAAACCAGGCATAGAAAGACAAATACGCGTGCGTTGCACTCAGATGTGGACTCTGAGAAAACTACTCTTACAGAAATGTAGAGGGGCTGGGGATTTAGCTCTGCAGCACAGAGCCTGCCTGGCAAGCGAGGTCATGAATTCGATTCCCGGTAGGGCGGGGGTGGGGGGGATTAAATCGCAGGAGTAAAAGGTGGTTGCAGGGGCAGGGAGAGGGACGCATGAGGAGGGCCGGCCAACTGCTTCCAGGTCATAGTCATACGAGGTGACATTGTCCTGCTGCACAGTAGCATCACTACAAACAAGGATAATGTACTGCGTATTTCAAAAAAGCTAAAAGAAAGGTATTAAATGTTTCACCAAACAGAAAGTTTGAGGTGCGCTTAACCAGATATGAACATTACAGTGGATACATGGGGGGGGAATCACATCACATCACACCCTATAAATGTGTACAATTTTGAAAAATCTTTAAATGCCAAAAAAAGAAAGCTCAAGTCAGGCGTGGTGGCGCACACCTCTAATCCCAGCACTCGGGAGGCTGAGGCAGGAGGATCGTCGCGAGTTCAAGACCAGCCTGAGCTACAAAGTGAGCTCAAGGCCAGCCTGAACTGCATAGCGAAACCCTGCCTCAAAAAGACAAAAAAAACGGTTCCCGGTACCGGAGAAAAACAAAAAAAAAAAAAAAAAAAAAAAAAAAAAAAAAGAGAGAGAGAGCGAGCCCACCCGACCTCCCTGATCATTCAATACACTAAATCTAGAGCGCGTCCCAGTTCTCTCCATTTTTGTAAGCTCTGCAGTGGCGCACTCGCGCACACACACTCGCCCCTCTTTCCCTCAGCGGCAAACTGCTCGCTGCCTTTCGCAGTGTGAGGGCCATAGCCATCGTGACGAGCCCACCCTAAAGAAACGGGAGCGAGCTGGGAAGAAAGCCTGCAGCGCGGACGTGGCCTCGGTCACCTTGCAGCCCCGGCCCGCGAGCGCGGCTCGATTCGATCCCCCACCCTCCGCGCGGGCGGCCACCGTTCACGTGCTCGCCCGCCCGACGTCCGAAGCCCGGGGCGCCTGGGGCCGGGCTCAGATCAGAATCGCCTCGATAATCAGCGGCCCGGGGCAGGCCCGGCCTCGTCTATCTGATCAATTCATCACTTCTGAGCACCGCGCCCGCAGGACCAGCTCGGGACCTCGGGAAGCACGGCGCCGCCGCCGCCCACGCGGCCTCGCTGCACAGCGCCCCGAGAGGCGGGCTTCGCAGGAGGGGAGCATTTCATTTCGGGGCGGCCCGGCGGGGCTGGGGTCACGACCCGATCAAATAAGATCAAGGTGTAGACGAGGGGAGGGGCTGGGGCATCACTCGCTCGCCTTGCACGCTCACGCACGCATCCATTCGTCCTCTCAACCCACAAGCACCTTCCACAACGCACTCGACCCGCACGCAGTCGACCTACACACACTCACCCCGGGCCGCGCTCCCGCCCGTGAAGCAGCGGAAGTCCGCCGCCTCTTTTAAGACCTCCGCCCGGCCCCGGAGGCGTCTGGGAGGAACCACCGAGCGCCGGCGGCCCGGCCAGCACACCCCGTTGTCAGGGGTGCGCCTTGCTGCCGCCGTGTGGCTCGGAGGTCCCAGGGAAAAGACGTGATACACGGCATGCTGAATCGTGGTTTTGCTCTCACATCAATTTATATAAAATTTACATATTCATATCTACTTATCTTTATTTTTACTCGCCTTAAATTTTAAAGTGGCCAGTTGGCATAGTGGCACATGCCAATAATCCCCGTTCTTGGGAGGCTGAGGCAGGAGGATGGTGAGTTCAGGACCAGCCTGGGTAATACCACAAGACCCTGGTTTTTTTGTTTTTGTTTTTAAATACACAAATACCGAAATTCTGGATGTTAGACAATTAAATCGCAGGTCCTCATATGTTCCAAGTAAATGTTGTGTCCCTGAGCTCACACTCCTAGCTCCTGGAATAGAGTATTTAAATCCAAAGACTAGGGGGCTGAGGATTTAGCTCAGCGGCGCAGTGCCTGCCTGGCAAGTGCAAGGTTGTGAGTTCGATTTCCGGTACCGGAAAAAAAAAAAAAATCCAAAGAGTAGATAGGCTATTCGTGAAATGGGTAAAGGCAGGAAAGGATAGCCCCAGCCTTGAAGAACCTTCTGCCTGCCTAGAACTTGAATGCTGTGACATTCATACTACTGAACCTTCATTTACCCACGAATCTACTAAAACATGTCCCACTTTCAAACTCCGAAAGTGAAAAACAGTAGCTATTATGTAAGTAGAATTAATGCCTCTCACGAGTGAAACTTTTAACATTTCAGGTTTGTTTGTTTGTTTTGTTTTGTTTTGTTTGGTTTGGTTTGGTCTTTTTGAGACAGGGTCTCGCTATGCAGTTCAGGCTGCCCTTGAGCTCACTTTGGAGCCCAGGCTGGCCTGGCACTTGCAACGATCCTCCTGCCTCAGCCTCCCGAGTGCTGGGATTACAGGCGTGCGCCACCACTGCCAGCTTTCTCCTTTTTCAATGAAATAGGTATGTAAGGGGAGGATTAAAGCAAAAGAATTTGGAGACCAGTAAATGATTGCTGAGTCGGTAACCCGTGCCTGTAATTCCGGTTGGAGGTGGGTAAGTGAAGCAAGATCATAAGTTTAAGGACAGCCGGGCAATTTAGGGCTCAAAGTAAAGTTTTAAAAGGGCTAGGATGTAGCTCAGCGGCAGAGTGCTTGCCTGGCATCCATAAGGTACCGGGTTCACTCCCAATGAGTGAATGAAGAATGTGACTTACGAAGGTGTAATATATACTTGCGCCAGTCCTATGAGACACCCGGAATAAAGCAAGGGGGAAAAGTACCCATAGTATGTGCCCAAATTCCATCGGCGCAAAAGACCTTTTCTGGGTGCTTGGGTGGTTACTCTGATAACTGTGTTTGAATGAGGAAGCTCATCACTGATAACAGACGATACTTGCACTTTATGAGCAACAGTAGGTTAAACGTACAGGGGGTGCTATCTGCCTTCTTTAATATACCTCAAAATTTTATAAAAACCTCAACACCCCCCAAGGGTCGGCCATGATTTACTCTCAACTGTATCATACATTCAGTGATCCTCACACAGGGGAAACTGGAATGCTGGGATTCACTGACACGAATTACAAACCTACCTATGGGTGTAACCCAAGGGAGTAATGAACAAAATTCAACAAATTTAGCATCTGACAAATAAAATGGACAAAGATTATAGGGAAACATTTTATTTTCAAGGATCTCTGCAGAGAGTGATGAATATAAAACTGTACTTCTACTATAAAAAGGAGCAACTTGATTCCATCCCGGGCTTATGGTAATGCAAAGTGGAATCTGAGGCGACACTGCTATCCTCGTATCTTCAGCCCAATATTGTTCTCCAGAGGAATAGCTTCTTATAATTTCTAGCCCAAAATATATGACACATCAGCCAAAGTAATGAGTTAAACAAGTTTCTGTTTATCCGCTTAAAGTTAAGAAATTAAATAAACCATGTATTTGCTTTTTGCTGTAAATCACCTTTTACTTGTGCACTTTTTGGTACATCGTGGTATGACAACATCTCAAAATATAACAACTCAAGAATTTAGATCAAGATAACCCACCCAGGAAACTGTAAAAATTGGCTTGAAATACAAGTGTAGAATGAGACTAGTTTAAAATATGAAGCATCTCTAAGGTCCAAACTTAGAGACATTAGCTCTATTAGAAAAAAAGTCATTAAAGCTACAAAATAACAAGTGCAAAACATGCTGAACCCTTTTCCTCAGAGTGACATTCCATTTGGCCAACAGGTTCCAAACTGACACCCACAAATATAACTCTTCTTTCCTATTTCCCTAGATTCCCTTTCTTTCAGAAAAGTCCTCAGAAATGACAATGAAAAATATCTGAATCACTGAAATTTACCCTGTTGACCAATTCCTGAAGAGATAACACCTACAAATCTGAGATGAAAAAACACATGTAGAATTTACTTAACCTTCTATGTTTTTAAAACCTTTCGAAGTACTAAACTGCAAATTTCAGAACCTAAACCTCTTAGCAGCTTTTACTCTTTTGGAGTAAGCAGACAGATCATTTATGCCATACAAGAGTCAATCACAGCTGACTTACCAAGTTTCACTGTAATGAACAATTCAACTGGAAGATCTATGTTATGTTTGCTTATTATAATTCAATTTTAGACCAACTCTTTTTTTTAGATAGACATTCTAGGTTACATAACTCCATCAGCTGATATGACGAGGAGCGAGTGGAGAAGTCTTCCCTCCAAATGTTCAGTAATCGACAATGATTTGCTACCATATTCCATGAAAAGCCCTCACTCTCAACTGCAAAGTTCTGTTTAACTTTATTCCATAAAACACTCTCATTTTATTAATGGAGCCTATCAACTGTCCAAATATGTCAACAAATACCAGCAACTTCTCTCATTTGAATGTCCCATGTTCCTACAGAATTTCCAGATAATAAAAGAGCACCGCAGTATGAAGAAAATTAGGGGTTGATCAAGAAAATCAAGCAATCAACTGAAAATTGCCATAATCCACATTTTAAAAATAAGTCTGTATCTCTTATAGCATGACAAAACTCCCACCTATCATTACAATAAATTCTTATACTAGATGATTTAACTAGTATATGAATTGATATACGAATTTCTTTCTTCTACCCTAACTGCAATATATTAAACAATTATTTCTTCAATACTTTCTGTTTCCCCTAGTGGTGGCATTTAAAACTGAAGAACAGTATTTAGCACTAAGTAATTTAGAAAATACAAAAAAGCTTTAGGAAATAGCAACAGTTGATTCATTTTTCATGTACCATTTCATTGAATGAAGTCTCCTTTGAGGATAAGGTAGAGAGAAAATGTTTTCTTGTGTCAAATCACTGGTTTCTAGTCTCATACAAAGACAACTCTCCAATTTTATGTAAGCTCAGACTCTTGCCAAAACCCTCAAGCTGCCAGCATATAGCAAGCTGCTTCATCTGTTCCTTTCTGCAGTGAGAGCCATGCTTCTCTCTCGTGTTCCCAGATGGGTACATTTCTAAAGTCACTTTCTTGGCTTTTCATACCTTCCATTTCCCACCCACCACCCTCCCTCCCTAATTTGCCAAATCCAAATTTGGAGATAAAGAAGTCTTGAAAATTATTTCTCCTTCCAAGAGGTCTGAACATAGCTTATGTCCTTCCCTAAGAGTCTCAGTTTAAAAAGATCCTGATGAGGGACCAAAGAACAAAATAGGTGACAGGATTTTGTTGTTGTTATTTGTTTTGCAGTCCTGGGACTCAAACCCAAGGCCTCATGTTAAGCAAACGCTTTACCACTGAGCTATGACCCCAGCCCAGGTGACAGGCTTTTAAGCAAGAGGTATATAATCTTATCACTGAGGGATGTAATTTATCTGGGCATTATATGCTCACTGCTGAGGGCTGATTTACACACAGATCAAAGGAAGATGGCTTTCTGGAGTCCCCTGGAGTACAAATAATGTTCATGACCATGAGGAGTTTCCCTGACATATGGCAGGGACAGATGCTCTGGTGTCATCCTGGGGACTTTGATGATTTTAGCTGAACTCTGCTACACTGGGTCCAGGCCTCCCACAGGTTCTTCACCCTTGTCCCCTTGTTTGGCAGCTGATGAGTTGGATACTTTGGAATTCATTTTATAAACAAGACGTAAAAGGCCATTACAACGCAGGCGATGGCCACAGCAGCATGCAGCCTGGTTCCAATCACAGCAGCTAGCAGGAAAAAGAAAAAGAGAAGAAATCATACCCTGCCCCTCACGAGAGCCCTTACATTCAAGGAGATATTCTGAAATCACTAGTTACACACTGAGACTGATCAAGGTTCTCAAAAACCTAAGAATTTTTTAAAATATACATTTGCTGGGCGTGGTGGCGCACGCCTGTAATCCCAGCACTCGGGAGGCTGAGGCAGGAGGATCGTTGCAAGTGCCAGGCCAGCCTGGGCTATAAAGTGAGCTCAAGGGCAGCCTGAACTGCATAGCGAGACCCTGTCTCAAAAAGACTAAATAAATAAATAAATAAATGAAGCTACACTTTTGCACAGGTTCTAGGTGAACATATTGTTCGCTTACACTTTATTCTATTTTGAAAAAGATTTAGATAGGTAGTATTCCAGATGATGGTATCCCAAATAAAAAGTAAAAGACCGAGGACTTTGCTCAGTGGCCCAAGTGCCGGCCTGGCAAGTGCAACATCCTGAGTTCAATTTCTGGTACCAAAACGAAATAAAAAGTAAAAATACATCTGAGTTAATTACATCAAAACTTTCAAAAAGGTCACTGTATTCTTTCCAGAAAAATCAGAAAATTTTTCAGTGGGAAAATATTCCTCCCACTGAGGGGAAGAATTCTAGGCCAGCCTAAAATTGCTTAATTTGTATACTTTTACTTCATGGAGAATATTAAAATTACCTGGATGTGAAAATAAACAATTATCTTTTAAATAACGGCAAATTTAAAATTGATCTCTTCCCTTAGTATTTTTGGAAAGTGATTATTTTACTGACTCTCAGATGTCATATCAGCAGTGTTTTCTAAGAGTGGAACAAAATATATAACCCCAGCCTACTACATCCCCTAGTTTGTAGCACCGCCCTGTTCAGACTAACCTTACCTTTGTAAAACACACCCCAAACTCCCTTCTTCTCTGACAGCAGCCAGGTTTTGAGACGAGGTACTTTCTTGAAGTAGGCACAGGTGCAAACAAAGAGCAAACCAAACACCAGAATCCCATCCAAGGAGTACACTGTCACATAAAGAAGAAAAGAAAACCTTTGGTGCTGGTTTAGCTTGGGTAAGAGGATCCGGCCTGACAGCTCCTGAGGACAGAGTGCAATATAAAATCAAGACAAGCCTTTTGCCTCCCCCGTCCTCTGGAAGCAACATGGGTCACCAGCAGCTCTACTGGAGCCACCCAAGGAAATTTGAAAAGGGCTCTCGCTCTTTCCAAGTGTGATCAAAACCACATGGTCTGATCTGGAAATACGGCTGGAACACGTTTCCCACTTCCACTAGTATTCGAAGGATATCGGCTTCACCAAGTTGAATTAAGTATCTTCCTTCAGTGGATTATCCATGGCATTGACTCAGTGAAAGAGACCGTGCTAACTTTGTACATAAAATAAAAAATTTAAAACCTTTCAAAAAAAAGATCAAGATGAAACCTGAACAGCAGTGCCAATACTTGATGAGAGGGAGCTAAAGCCCTGGAACTAACAATGTTACTTTACTGTTTCCCAAACCTGCTTATAGACATCCCCTGTATAACAGTTTCACTACCTCCTCCCACCATTCCCTTTCACAAACTAGAAATCCACGCAGAGTGCATCGGTTTAGGTGGAATCAGCCTCCCAGAAAGGACGAATTGCAACGCTGCCGATACGCTGAGAGAAACATAAGAACCCTTGGAGCCTGAACACAAAGACTAAACACATCCTGTTATACATGGTCAAATGATGCTTCAATACAGTAGAAAGCTTTAAACTCCGTGTTCTCTTTCTTCTTACATATGTAAATCTAGCTCTTTATTGTTCTGTTGAACACAATGAATTACCTAACTGCAAAAATACAAAACAAACAATATTGCAGCACAAACCGAGGGTGGATGACACTATGTGTCCCAATGAGTGAGGGATTTTACGGTGGGTTGGGTTTTTTTTTTTTCTTTTTTGAGACAGGGTCTCACTATGTACTTCAGGCTGGCCTTGAACTCACTATTTAGCTCAGTTGGCCTTGAACTTGAGGAGATCCTCCCGCCTCAGCTTCCTAAGTGCTGGGACTACAGCTGTGCATCACAACAGGCCAGAATGAATTCTTTAAAAAAAAATTTTTTTTTTCTGGTACTAGGCATTGAACCCAGGTCCTCATACATGCTTAAAATATGCTCTTATTTCCTAGTTCAGATTATTTCTTCCTCTGAGTGATGTCCTTTCTTTTACTGTGCATAGTATCTTGAGACCACTGACTGCCCGGAAGTTCCAAATGGGTATTTTATATGACCACTGTCTGTCAGTTCTGGCCCACATACCTCTCTTCTACCAGTAAAACTATCTCACTGCTAGATCCAGTGTATTAATACATACACATAGGTTTTTATAAGAAATGATGTCTTATCCCATACTCTTTTTTTTTTTTTTTTTAAATCCTGTAAGTTTTGCAGACACTGCCAAAATTCACAAATGAAACTTGAATCTTCAGTACCAGAACTATCAGCAAGGTACTTTGGGAAATGCTTTGTGGCCTTCAAATTATACTGCCTAAAACACATTGTTTTCTCCTCCTCTAAGGATGACTCTCAAAACCATTAATAGCCCTGCTTCCTTCCCTCCCCTGGAATTTGGAAATCTTGTCCATAAAGTGTTTGAAGAGGCCCAGAAAAATGAGGTCAGACAAACAAGGCGACAACGGCTGCACCCTTCAGGAAAGGCAGTGTACAAATCCACCCTTGCAACACTGCAGGAGCTCTCCAGGTCAGATCAACGAGCTGAGAGTCTAAAACAAATGAGTGGGCTTTTGAGAAGACACACTTTGAAAACAGAACTTCTGGGAGGGTGTACGTTCACACCGCACACGCTCCGAAGTGGGGGGAACCGGCGCCCTCCGGGGCTTCTCGGCTTCGTCCTCCCCACGAGCCCGCAGCCCCGAGCTCGGGGAAGGGGGAGCCGGGAGGAGAGCCCCTCTTCCTGGGCTGAATAGCACGGGTCCTAGCGGCACTCAAGGGCCAGGACGAACTTCCAGCGAAGAGAAGCAGAGGGTGGGGACCGAAGACCGAGGTGAGGGCAGGGGAAGGGCGGGGGAACCCGGATCGGCACAGGTGGAGGGACGGGCGGAGGGGCACAAAAGGGAGCGCGGGGCACACACCAAGGGGGCGGGCCGGGAGGGGGCGGGGAGAACGGCCACCTCTCCCCCCCCTCCCCTCCCACCCGCCGTGGGGGCCCCGGCTCTCACCGTTGGTCATGGTGGCTGAGCCCCGGACTGTGTAAGGAGTCCGGGTTCAGCGGTGATCGCGGCGAAGACGGGGAACCCGGCTCCCGCTTGACACTTCCCGATCCGGGCCGCGGCGACGGGCTGGGGCAGTAGTACGCAAGCGCAAGGGACGAGTGTCGCGCGCCGAGCGCAAGCGAGGGCTGCTAGCCGATCGCCGAGCGAGGGGGTGCCTGCGCGGGCGGTGCGTGCGTGCTTAAGTAGTGCATGCGTGCTTAAGAGCCCTGTGCGAGGCTTTTTGCGTGGTCATGGTAACCGCCCTTACCGAGCACGCCCGCCGGGGAAGTTCGGGCCAGGTCGGTGTGTTCGGAAAAGGAAAGGCTGGCGGTTTTGCGCTGCGGCAGCCGTGCGCGTCTGCGTGTGTGTCAGCGCCAACCCACTGCAAAGGAGAGGTTTCCGTCCTCGGAGTTGACCGGAGCAAACCCGCACCACAGGGCTGAAGCAGCAGCCCTGCTGTCCGCGTCTCCGCCGTCGCTCGCCGTGTCTTGTCACAACCCTTGCAGGTTCAGCTCATTCCTGGCCAAGAAGCAAGAGCAAACTCATCCCAGTCCCCCAGTGGATTCGGATGAAAACTGGTGATAAAATCAAATGCAATTCCAAGAGGAGGCGACCAAGCTGGGTCTACAGGGAATTGCACTGGGGGCTGGCGATTTAGCTCAGCTGCAAAGCGCCTGCCTGGCAAGCGCAAGATCGTGAGTTCGAATCCCGGTACCAGAAGAAAAACAAACAAAAAGAAAAGAATTAAGGGAATTGCACCTGAGAGGGCACACGTTGAGCATAGCAAGGTCGCGACCGTCTCACCCTGGAAAGCTGGTCACCGCTGTCTGGACAGCTGGACAGGTTTTATTGACAGTATGGTTTTCCTTTTTGTTTGTATGCTCTACACTAGTAGATTGGCTCAGTAATAAGCATATGAAGGCTTTGGCTGGCGGGGAGTTGGAGGTAGGCGGAGGAGGCGACTCCCTGCCCTGGCCCCGCGGCTGTTCCTTACTCCCGAGGGAAGTCTGTCAGCCCGCGTTCCAACTTGCAAAATGAAATAAGGAACTTTATAACCAAAAGAAGTTACATAGGCCAGATCTTAAAACTCCAAGTTGTCAGAAACGTTCAGATAACTGCCTGTGTGAGGGGATTTTTCTTAAACTATGAGGACAGTCTTAATTAACTCCTGTGTTTGAATCACGTTGTGGGTCACTTGGCCGCTTTAGCCACAAATCAGCCGTATTTGTTGTTCTTGGTGGTGGTGGTGGTGGGTTTTTGTTTTTGTCTTTTTGAGACAGGGTCTCACTATGCAGTTTAGGCTGGTCTTGAACTCGCTTTGTAGCCCAGGCTGGCCTCAAATTAGCAACAGTCCTCTTGCCTCAGCCTCCCGAATGCTGGGATTAGAGGCATGCACCACCACACATGGCGGTAAATCAACTATATTTGGACAACACTCTCCAGAAAACACTTTGACACTGTGATGGAAGATATATGTCAGCCTAAAGACGGGACTGGGTGGAGGAGACAGCTACAAATTCTACTTTGTAAATTCAAATCTGTAGGGCTGGGGATTTAGCTCAGTGGCAAAGCACCTGCCTGGCAAGCGCAAGGTCGTGAGTTCAGTTCCCGGTACCGGAGAAAAACCAAAAAAAAAAAAAATTCAAATCTGTAATTGTAGATAGCTCCCTCTTCTTTATTAGAGTCCGGAGGAAAGTGAGCCGATGGATTTTCAGAAGCTGAAGTTTTAAATTACCATCTCTAGTGGTGGTTATCAAAGAAAGGAACTCTGCCCCTCTCTACTGCAGTGCCATCTGCTGGCTACAGCTTGCGTGGTTACCTAGAAAAGAAAAGTAACGCCACCCTAGAGGAGGACAAGAGCAAACAAAAAAAGTGTGATGCAAGACAGAGTCTGAGAAAATATGCATAAACACAGGAACAAAAAATAAATGGTGGCACAGGCCTCCCTGGAGACTGAAGCAGGAGAATCTCAAGATCGAGCCAGCCTGGACAATTTAGCAAGACCCTACCTTGAAATAAAAAGAACTGGGGCTGTAGCTCAGTGTGAAAGCGCGGTACAAGAAGAAGAAGAAAAGAGGAGGAGGAGGAGGAAAAAGAAGAAGAGGAGGGGGAGGGAGAAAGAGGAAGGGCAAGGAATGTTACAGGCAGTTGAGTTAGATAGAAGAAATATTATAGGCAGTCAGACAGGGCCAAGCCTTCGAAGGAGCCATCAGGAAAGACAAGATAAGATAGTATTTGCTGTGGGCCAGACCTCAAAACAAAAGATTAAACAAATGCTCCCACATACCTCCCTAGGGCTGGACATCAGGGATTGATATTCTAAGTAGGTAATGATCTCCTGGAAGAGTCTCTGATCCAACCCCTTACAGGAAAAGCCCCTGTTCTGTATTCATGCCTGCATGCTATGTGATTCACTTTCCCATTTGATCCTGATTTAATCAATTTTACCTGGACAATTCTTACTGGCTGACCATAGTTTTGTCCCACCTCATGCCCACCTTGCAATTCCCATTTTTCCCACCTTGGACCCACCTCATCTCATCGTTTGCTCTATAAAAGTCCCTGGAAAAGACAGAGTCTTGGGCAACCCACTCGGGCCCCCTCCTGTCCCTCTCTTCAACAGCAGCTTTCTTTCCCTCAATAAATACATTCTGCTCTTCACCTCCGTTGTTCCTAAAATTTATTCTTCGATTTTAGAGAACACGAACTCATCCCAGATGTCGTTCAGGTTGGGAGTTTTTATTTTCCTGTATCAGAAGGAGGAGGAGGAAAATGTATGGAATAATAACCTAAAACAGGCCAAATATACACAGATTCTCTTGTCCAAAAGAACTGCTCAGGGCCACTGATAAGCAAAGCTAGAGTATGCAGGGTGTGGTTCTGGATGCCTGTAATACCGATACTCCACAGGAGGACTGCTTCAAATTTGAGGCCAACCTCGGCCTCACAGTGAATTCAAAGCCAGCCTGAGTTGAAATTACTCTACAAAGCTATTGTGATAAATATAGAATGGTACTGGCAAAAAAAAAAAAAAAAAACGATGCAGAAACAATTCCAAATACACTCAGTCATCTTCTCTTTGACAAAGGGGCCAAACACCTTTACTGGAAAAAAGATAGCCTATTTAATAAATGGTGCTGGAAAAACTGGCTTTCCACATGCTGAAGACTAAGACCCATGTCTCTCACCATGCACTAAACTAAAAGTGAAATGGATCAAAATCTAAATATTAGAAACACGGGGCTGGGGTTTTAGCTCAGCGGCACAGTGCCTGCCTGGCAAGCGCAAGGTCATGAGTTCGATTCCCAGTACCGGAAAAAAACTAAAAAAGAAAAAAAAAATAGAAACATTAAATCTGCTGGAAGATAGACTAGGCAGAAGAACTCTTGAAGACATAGATGTAGGCAAACACTTTATGAAAAAAACCCTGACTGCACAGGAAATATTACAAAGAATCAACTGGGATCCATTTCATTAAAAAAAAGCTTTTGCACAGCAAAGTAAATCATTAACAGAGTGAAGAGACAACCCACAGGGTGGGAAAAAAATTTTGCCAGTTGTTCCTCAAACAAAGGACTAATATCTAGAACGTATAAAGAACTCAAAAAAATCAGCCCTGCCAAATTTAAAGACCCAGTCCAAAAATGGGCATCTAAAATGAATAGACACGTCTCAGATGAAGAAGTAAAAACAGCAAATAAATATATGAAAAAAAGTTCAACATCACTGGTCATTTGAGAGACGCAAATTAAAACAATTGCTGAGGGGCTGGGGAGATAGCTCAGAGGCACAAGTACTGCCTGACAAGTATAAGGTCCTGAGTTCAATTCCCAGTATCAAATAAATAAATAAAACAATGCTGAGATTCCATCTCCAGAAATAATGACAGTTATCAAGAAATCAAGGGCTGGGGATATAGCTCAGCAGCACAAGTGCCTGCCTGGCAAGCTCAAGGTCCTGAGTTCAATTCCCGGTCCAAAAAAAAAATTTAAAAAATCAAGAAATCAATTAATAACAAATGCTGATGGAGCTGTTGGGGTGGGGGGAAGCAAGCCTACTGCACTGTGCTAGGAATGTAGTGACTGGTGCAACCACCAGTCTATAAACCAGTGTGGAGATTCCTCAAAAAACTAAAACTGGAGGGTTAATTTGACCCAGCTATTCCCCTTCTTGGTATCTTCCTGTTATGTTTTGTGTCTGGAAGTCCTCCCAAAGCCTCATGCAATCATGGGGTGTGCAGGCTTTTCAGAGGTGGCTAAATCTAGAGTTTATGAGTAGTTCATTGTCTAGTGCTGGGGTTGGGGATGTTAGGGCTACACCCTCCCTAGGGCAGGTAGCCTGCATACAATATAAGGGAAGGAAAAGAGGCTTGATCTTCTTTTGCTCTTGCTGCTTTTGCTGTCTTCTGCTGCTGAAGACTGTTCTCCTCCAGGAACTGTTGCTCCTGTGCCATGTGCCGTGCTGCCTTGGAGCCAGTCGATTATGGACTGAAACTGCTACAAACTGTGAGCTAAATAAATCTTTCCCCCTTTGACATTGAGTGTTGGGTATTTTGTCTCAGCAACAAGAAAAATAACTAAGACACTTCCCAAAAGAATTAAAAGCATCATAGCACGGCAATACATGCACTCCCATATTTATAGCAGCATAGTTTGTAATAGCTGAATCCTGTAAACAGCCCAAATATCCATCAACTGATGAATAGATAAAGGAGTTAGGGTTTTTATTCAATGGAGTACTATACAGCCACAAAGAGGGATAAACCTGAGACATTTTTAAGTAAATAGATGCACCTTGAGGCCATACTCTTAAGTGAAATAAATTGAACACACGTGTAAATATCTCACTGTTTTTCTGGTGTGAGAAATAGAAAGTGTAAATGAGGACCAAAATGTATATTAAATATTGTGAAATAGGAAGGAAATGCTCAAATGGGAAGGGGAATTAGGAAGAGGGGAGGGGAAAAATCAAGGAAGGGAAAAGAAACAAATGAAAAAAGAAGGAAAAAATAGAAGCAAAGCTTTTGTAAATAAGTAGAGGAAGAGGGGTTAAAGGGAGGGTAGGGGGTTGGGAAAAGAAGAATTAAAATACATCACATGCAGGTATGAATTCCC